ATGATCTTTGAGGTTGCACTAATAAGTGGATTTCTTCTTGTATGAACATACATTTGCTTCTATGATTAAGAATAATGTTGTGTAAGCCCCAATGAGGTTACAACCCCAGTATAGGTAGTGTTAGATGATAAGTTGAATGAAAGATAAAACTAAATGGCTTATTTAATTTCACTTATCATTTAATGACACATTAACGTCACTTAAACTGGGGTTGTGACCCCAGTGAGCTCAAATAGCATTACTCTATGATAAATGAATGGAAATAGTTTTTGATACGTTGAAAGCATTAATTTGTCATTGAACATTGGGAGAACGTTTCCGGTGGCGCTAATATGTGGTTTGGTGAAACCGTTAATACCTTTCAGGTTGCACTAATATGCAGTCTCGTAAACGGGAAGATATTCATGGAATGGGTGAGTCCCGCCGTGCTGAAAGCTTATCAATGGCAGGTGAGTAATAAATTTTCTGTCTAACATTATTAGTGTTATGTGTTCCTCGGATTTAGAATTGTTAGCTGAGCGGTCGAGCTTTTTATTCCATTTAATTGTTAATAAGACCGATGATTGGATGTTCTAGATTAGCACTATGGAAACTAGTTTGAGGGAGATTTCGGACATTTTTGAGGTCAATACAAGTAGAGGATTATCTCAAGATATAATTCAGAAGCTACCAATTTACGAATTCTATTCCCCAAGGACGACATCTTGTCACGAGACAAATTGTTCAATTTGCTTACAGGTGAGTTCTTCATTGATCTATTAAGAGCAACATTATGGGAAGAGATGATTTTGTGGGTTGTGATTGAACTATACGTCCTACGTGGGGACCTAAATTATGAGGGGAGGGGGCCTAAATCATACTACCTAATTCCTTCGTAGTTTTCAATTAGATCGATCACAATTGACGATAGAACTATCTAATCCACCTGATTTAGACTGGAAGATGGATGCACAGTTTGTTAGTCATCTCAACGACTCAACCCATTTTTCGTCCCACTACATAAATAGACATGGACCAACCATTCTCAACCTTCTGGAAACCAACCCAAGTTGCCATTTGCTCTCCCAATTACTGCACAAGCCTATTATTTTTATTCTTGTTTGCAGTTTTTTTACTGTTGTCACTTTCTTTATTGGTAGGACTTTAAGAACAGAGAATCTGCGAAGATGCTACCAAGCTGTAGACATTTCTTTCATGTGCACTGCATAGACGAATGGCTTCTCCGGCAGGGAACCTGCCCAATGTGTAGAAGAGAGATCTGAATGGAACTGGACGACGAGGAGAAAACTGATGGTGCAAGTTTGTAAAAAAACCCGGAGAGAAGAAATAGGAAATAGGTCAGATCCAAATGAAAATGTCCCAGTAATGCTTCTATCCTTAACTTTGTTGTAGATAAATTTTGAAACAAAGAACTTTGATCTCTCGTATCTAATGTAAGATAGAAGTAGAATCGATTCTCGAATGACCAAATCATCATAGTACAAGTGGAAGTGCTCTATGAATATATGTAGTACTTGTGAATACTGCAAATTGTTTCTTTTAAATTCTGTATCTCCTTTTTTATCGAAGTTGTTACGTGTTGTCATACTTGGCCAACCTACTTGGGCTTATGGCTCACTCAATCCGAACCACGTGACACTCCAACCGAGGTGGCATGTATAGCCGAAGCCCATATACTGAGGCCTGTGAAAGTAGCTGAAGTCCATACGCCGAGGCCCATAAACCGAAGTCATGATGCGAGATCACCGAAAAGATAGCCGAAGCCCTAAAGCGGAAGTATTACGTGAAAACGTCATGATCACTTCTCCCAAGAGATCTTCTACATAAAGATCTTGTTTGAATGATTGATGAAACGTTTATCATAAGTACATATGTCAAGTCTTATCACTAGAAAAGGAGTTCTGTACAAGCAATAAATGCGCAGCAAGCTAGCAAGTTAAGGATGATGTCTAGGATTAGATGTTTGAATTAAGGAGATGAGGCCACGTGTCACCTTATCTAAGGGCTGCCATTTCACATGTAATACTGTAAATACTTCCATTGTATAACATTGAAGGGCTAATGTAAGAATCAATACAAGAACCACATTTTACTCTCTCTTTCATATTATCTTACAACCCAATACAAGTTCATACATATTTACATGTATAGTCATGAGCACTGATTGGTAATTATTGTTCAATCGGATTAAGAACATCCCGACGGATTTCGAACGTTCTCGTCCCGCGTCATTGAGCTACTCCCACGCCCCTGATTTGTTCGTTCTAGACTGTACACGTGTCTCAGCGTGTAGGATCTTCGCTCACGTGTGCGCGGGTGGGTCCGACGTCTGTTGGCAACACTTTTTGGGATCAACAGATTGTCGCCGTCTGTGGGAAACCATACCATAACCACGAACAACTTTGTGGTGAAAGCTTATTGAATGACGTTTGGGCACCCCCCTTGAAAAAGGATTTGTTCTTGAAGAAGAATAAGAGGAAGCCCCACAACTTAGTAAAATCTGAAGTCAGACGAAAATAAAATGAGTTCAAATGAAGACACACCCCACAGGAGGGTAAGAGAAAACGCAAATGTACCTCCTCCACCCGCTACCCCAGCAGCCTGGCAAAGACTTCACCACCACAAAAGAAGAGGTGAAATACGGGCAACGGCCCGACTGTCAAGAGAAATGGCTGCCAACATGAGAGATATTGCTAATCAAAACTTGGTTATGAGGGAGCTCATGGCCCACATGCAAGGCCAGGGGGGCTTTTCCATTCCTCCATATACCCCTCAGGGGCACTACCAGCAAGAAGACGAAATTCAAAGTCATAGAACTGCCTCGCCGGACTATAGTTGAGGTAGAAGCCCATTTGAAAGGGAAGTAGAAGTTGATGTTTCCTCCAACTACGCTTCTTGAGGTTACAACCCCAGTATAGGTAGTTTTAGATGATAAGTTGAATGAAAGATAAAACTAAATGGCTTATTTAATTTCACTTATCATTTAATGACACATTAACGTCACTTAAACTGGGGTTGTGACCCCAGTGAGCTCAAATAGCATTACTCTATGATAAATGAATGGAAATAGTTTTTGATACGTTGAAAGCATTAATTTGTCATTGAACATTGGGAGAACGTTTCCGGTGGCGCTAATATGTGGTTTGGTGAAACCGTTAATACCTTTCAGGTTGCACTAATATGCAGTCTCGTAAACGGGAAGATATTCATGGAATGGGTGAGTCCCGCCGTGCTGAAAGCTTATCAATGGCAGGTGAGTAATAAATTTTCTGTCTAACATTATTAGTGTTATGTGTTCCTCGGATTTAGAATTGTTAGCTGAGCGGTCGAGCTTTTTATTCCATTTAATTGTTAATAAGACCGATGATTGGATGTTCTAGATTAGCACTATGGAAACTAGTTTGAGGGAGATTTCGGACATTTTTTAGGTCAATACAAGTAGAGGATTATCTCAAGATATAATTCAGAAGCTACCAATTTACGAATTCTATTCCCCAAGGACGACATCTTGTCACGAGACAAATTGTTCAATTTGCTTACAGGTGAGTTCTTCATTGATCTATTAAGAGCAACATTATGGGAAGAGATGATTTTGTGGGTTGTGATTGAACTATACGTCCTACGTGGGGACCTAAATTATGAGGGGAGGGGGCCTAAATCATACTACCTAATTCCTTCGTAGTTTTCAATTAGATCGATCACAATTGACGATAGAACTATCTAATCCACCTGATTTAGACTGGAAGATGGATGCACAGTTTGTTAGTCATCTCAACGACTCAACCCATTTTTCGTCCCACTACATAAATAGACATGGACCAACCATTCTCAACCTTCTGGAAACCAACCCAAGTTGCCATTTGCTCTCCCAATTACTGCACAAGCCTATTATTTTTATTCTTGTTTGCAGTTTTTTTACTGTTGTCACTTTCTTTATTGGTAGGACTTTAAGAACAGAGAATCTGCGAAGATGCTACCAAGCTGTAGACATTTCTTTCATGTGCACTGCATAGACGAATGGCTTCTCCGGCAGGGAACCTGCCCAATGTGTAGAAGAGAGATCTGAATGGAACTGGACGACGAGGAGAAAACTGATGGTGCAAGTTTGTAAAAAAACCCGGAGAGAAGAAATAGGAAATAGGTCAGATCCTAATGAAAATGTCCCAGTAATGCTTCTATCCTTAACTTTGTTGTAGATAAATTTTGAAACAAAGAACTTTGATCTCTCGTATCTAATGTAAGATAGAAGTAGAATCGATTCTCGAATGACCAAATCATCATAGTACAAGTGGAAGTGCTCTATGAATATATGTAGTACTTGTGAATACTGCAAATTGTTTCTTTTAAATTCTGTATCTCCTTTTTTATCGAAGTTGTTACGTGTTGTCATACTTGGCCAACCTACTTGGGCTTATGGCTCACTCAATCCGAACCACGTGATACTCCAATCGAGGTGGCATGTATGGCCGAAGCCCATATACTGAGGCCTGTGAAAGTAGCTGAAGTCCATACGTCGAGGCCCATAAACCGAAGTCATGATGCGAGATCACCGAAAAGATAGCCGAAGCCCTAAAGCGGAAGTATTACGTGAAAACGTCATGATCACTTCTCCCAAGAGATCTTCTACATAAAGATCTTGTTTGAATGATTGATGAAACGTTTATCATAAATATACATGTCAAGTCTTGTCATTAGCATGGAGGTTCTGCATAAGCAATAAATACGCAGCAAGCTAGCAAGTCAGGGATGATGCCTAGGATTGAATGTTTGGATTAAAGAGATGAGGCCACGTGTCACCTCATCCAAGGACTGCCATTTCACATGTACCACTATAAATACTTCCCTTGTGTAACATTAAAGGGCTAATGCAAGACTCAATACAAGAAACAACACTTTACTCTCTCTTTCATATTATCTTGCAACACAATACGAGTTTATACATATTTACATGCACATTCATGAGCACCGACTGATAATTATTGTACAATCGGATTACGAACATCCCATTGGATTCCGAACGTTCTCGTCCCGCGTCGTTGAGCTACTCCCACGCCCCTGATCCATTCGTTCTAGACCGTCCACGTGTCTTAGCCTGTAGGACCTTCGTTCACTTGTGCGCGGGTGGGTCCGGCATCTGTTGGCAACATTTTTTGGGGTCAACAGATTGGCGCCGTCTGTGGGAAACCATACCATCACCATGAATAACCTTGTGGTGAAAGCTTATTGAAGAGCATTTGGACATCCCCTTAAAAAAGGATTTGTTCTTGTAAAAGAACAAGAGGAAGCCTCACAACTTAGCAAAATTTGAAGAGTCAGACGAAAAGAAAATGAGTTCAAACGAAGACACACCCCCCAGGAGGGTAAGAGAAAACGCAAATGTGCCTTCTCCACCCATTGCCCCAGCAGCTCGGCAAAGACTCCACCACCACCAAAGAAGAGGTGGAATGCAGGCGACGGCACGACTATCAAGAGGAATGGCTGCCATGACGGCCAACATGAGGGACATTGCTAGCCAAAACTTGGCTATGAGGGAGCTCATGGCCCAAATGTAGGGTCAGGGAGGCTTCTCCATTCCTCCATACGCCCCTCAAGGGCACTACCAGCAAGAAGATGAAGTTCAAAGTCATAGAGCTGCCTCTCCGGACTATAGCCTAGGTGGAAGCCCATTTGAAAGGGAAGTGAAAGTTGATGTTTCCTCCAACTATGCTTCTGGCCGACCCACCGAAGTCCTATTGAACCATGATAACTTCCTACCTCCGTATGAGCAAGAGCCAAGACATAGGAGGGCGGGCAGTGTATTTGACATAATTAGCCCCGCTGAACCAAGGCTTAGGCAACAGCAAACTCATCAGCCTTGGACAAGACCACCGCCTTCACCTCCAATGCCCCAGCAGCCAGAAGAAAGACATGAAAATGCCCCCCGTGTTGCTCCGCCTAGAAATAGGCGTCAGAGGAGGGAGGAAGAGGCTAGGAACCGTCTCGGGACCTTTCGCCAACAACCACGGTATGAGGCCGATGAATATGATTCAGATGAGTAGCAGAGGTCCTGTGACTTGGACAATGAAGATGAGAATCTGTCGTTTTCAAGGGAACTAAGGAGTGCCCAGGTTCCAAGCCATTATGTAATGCTAAAGATACCAAAGTATGACGGAAGAGGCGACCCAGAGAAGTACCCAAATGCTTATAAAAATCGCATGAGCCTAAGGGGCGCCACCCCAGCTGTGAAATGCATAGCTTTCTATTTAACACTTAGTGGAGCGGCTGAAATTTGATATAGTAGGTTACCGCGTGGGAGCATAAGAAGCTGGCCCGAGTTCAAGACAACATTCTTGAAGAGGTTCGCGTTAAGTAAAGAAGGAGAGGCTCCCATTCAACGTCTCCAAGAAATGAGACAAGCACATGGGGAGTCCCTAAAGAGCTTCCTATCACGCTTCACTGATGAGATGACGTATTGCGTGCAAGTCACCGACCGTGAGGCACTATCCGTATTAAGGGGAGGTCTGAACATGAATACCCTATTCTGGAGAGACGTGCAAAATTAAGATCTCACCACCTAGGATGCCCTACTCGAGATGATGAGGCAGGAAATCGTCAATGAAGAATTGATTAAGCATAGGAACAGGGCAAGTAGAGGTCTCCCACCTCCTTAAAGGCAGTGTGTTAGAGGGCCGACCTCCCACCTGATGGACTACCAAATGAATCAGGCTGGAAATGAGAGTTTTGGCCAAGCACTTGCCACCACCACTTTGAACGCGGTTCCTACCTTGGCATATGAGGATATCAACCCAATTACTGACACACAGTAGATGAAAATCCCACAAAGATCCCGTAGGGGGAGAGGCCGAGGCCGGGTTTTGGGACCTAGAAATAGGTCAAATCAGAACCCACCGGGATATTTTGTACACAATCGGTCCTATGGACACGACACAGCGGATTGTCGAGACTATGCGCACTGCTCCCGGCTGGAACCCCCTATGGACAGAAATGAATCGTCTTAGGCAAATAGGCCCCCGTCCAGGCACGACAACCAACGTGGGCGTGAGGAGGTTGCTCCTCGTCAAAGGGATGTTTCCCTACGACGAAGGGAGCGTGATACGGAGAGGCCCAGGAAAGGGCGCATGCACCAAAGAAACCGACAAGCCCAGGATGAGGCCCCTATTCACAAGGTGGATACCATAGTTGGAGGCCCATATGTTGGCGGTGAGACATGAAACGCCAAAAGGAATTATGCCCAGGAGGCTAAACACCCTCCTTTGGCAAGCTACATTGTGGACAGCAGCTCCCGGAGGAACCAAGTTTCACCCATTGTCTTCACCCAGGAGGACGCTGAAGGAGTTCACTATCCCCACTGCGATGCACTTGTTGTGAGAGTCGTCGTAGCCCGAAATGGGTTCAAGCGAATGTTAGTTGACAACGGTAGCTTTGTCAACATTTTATTCGGATCCACCTTCGACAAGATGATATTGGATCATCAGTTGACACCCACCACCACTCCTTTGTACGGATTCGCCGGAGATAGCATCACTCCAAGGGGAAAGATAACACTTGCAGTGGAGATGGGAGAGTCTCCCCAAACTACGATGAACTTCATGGGGTTCCTCATTGTCGACAGTCGATCGGCCTACCATGGAATATTAGGTAGGCCAGCCCTGAAAGAATTGGGAGCAGTCACCTTCATCCATCACCTATGTATGAAATTCCCGACGAAAAATGGGGTGGCAACGGTGAGAGAAGACCAAAGAGGATCAAGAGAGTGTTATCTAAGCTCCATAAAAAATGTAGAGCCCCAGGACGTTCATGTAATCATAGCCGATATAATCACGGCTGATGTCCTAGGTGATGCTCCCACCGAACCAGAAGATATCGATATGATTGATGCACCACCCAATCCGGAGGTATTGGTCATTGATGAGATCGATCCCCGCATAATTGAACACGAACCTCAAGCATCTCCAGTTGAGGAACTTGAGAGCTTCTCGGTAGGCCCCCAAGACCCATCCAAGGTGCTGAAAGTAGGCAAAGGCTTGTCCAACATTTTGAAGGAAAAGATTAAGGATTTTCTAAGTAGGAACCTTGGTGTCTTTGTTTGGAGGCATGAGGACATGGTAAGCATAGACCCCAAGATCAGTTGCCACCACTTGAAAGTCGATCCTAAGGTTGCCCCGCACAGACAAAAAAGGAGAGCCCTCAATCCTGAGAGGTACGAGGCTCTGAAGGAAGAAGTTCAAAAGCTCTTCCAAAACGATTTTATCAAGGAGGCTACCTATTCGAGGTGGGTCTCCAACTCGATTTTAGTGAAGAAATACAACGGAAAGTGGAGGGTATGCATCAATTTCACCAATCTCAACAGGGCTTGCCCGAAAGACAGTTTTCCACTCCCAAGGATTGACCAACTAGTAGACTCCACGGCTGGGCACAAGTTGTTGAGTTTTATTGACGCATACTCCGGCTACAACCAAATACCCATGCACACGGCCGATGAGGAGCACACCTCTTTCATCACAGACCGAGGCCTTTATTATTATAGGATGATGTCCTTCGGGTTGAAAAACGTCGGAGCGACTTACCAAAGGCTCGTCAACAAAATGTTTATGGACCTCATCAGCAAGATAATGGATGTATACGTGGATGACATGTTGGTAAAGAGCAACCGTTGTCAACTAACATTCGCTTAAACCCATTTCGGGCTACGACGACTCTCACAAGAAGTGCATCATAGTGGGGGTAGTGAACTCCTTTGGTGTCGTCCTGGGTGAAGACAATGGGTGGAACTTGATTCCTCCGGGAGCTGTTGTCCACAATGTAGCTTGCCAAAGGGGGGTGTTTAGCCTCCTGGGCGTAATTCTTTTTTGGTGTTTCGTGTCTCATCGCCAACATATAGGCTTCCAAATATGGTATCCACCTCGTGGATAGGGTCCTCATCCTGGGCTTGTCGATTTCTTTGGTGCATGCGCCCTTCCCTGGGCCTCTCCGTATCACGCTCCCTTCGTCGTGGGAAAACATCCCTTTGATGAGGAGCAACTTCCTCACACCCACGTTGGTTGTCGTGCCTGGGCGAGGCCCTATTCGCCTGGGGCGATTCATTTATGTCCCTAGGGGGTTCCAGTCGGGAGCGGTGCGCATAGTCTCGACAATCCGCTGTGTCGTGTCCATAGGACCAATGGTGTACACAGTATCCCGACGGGTTCTGATTTGACCTATTTCTAGGTCTCGAACCCGGCCTCGGCCTCTCCCCCTACGGGATCTGTGGTGTTTCCATCTGCTGTGTGTCATTAATTCGGTTGATATCCTCATATGCCAAGGTAGGAACCGCGTTCAAAGTGGTGGTGGCAAGTGCTTGGCCAGAACTCTCATTTTCAGCCTGGTTCAT